AGCGAAGAAAGAAGGAAAAAATAGCAAAAAAAAAGAAGGTAAAGTGAAACAAGAAAAAGAAAGAAAAGGAAGCAAGAAAAGGATGGAAAGCGGAAATGAAAGGAAAAGAAAAAAAACAGAAAAAAAAAATAAAAATAAAGCGGGAAAGAAAAAAAGAATTAAAGTGAGGAAAGAAGAAAAAAATAGAAAAAACGAATGAAGATAAAGTGAAAAAAAAAAAAAAAAAAGGGAAATGAAAAAACAAAAGAAAAGGGAAACAAGAAAAGAAAGAAAAACAGAAAGCGGAAAAAAAGGAAGTAAAAAGAAAAGAAGCGAAAAAAGAAGCAGGAAAAGAAGAAAAAGAAATCAGGAAAGAAGAAGAAAATTAAAGTGGAGAAAAAAGAAAAAAATGTCAAAAAAAAAAGAAGGTAAAGTGAAACAAGAAAAGGAAAACAAGAAAAGGACAGAAAGCAGAAATAAAAGGAAAAGAAAAAAAAAACAGAAAAAGAAGAAAAAGAATGAAGAGGAAAGAAGAAAAGAATTAAAGCGGAGAAAAAAGAAAAAATGGAAAAAATGAATGAAGATAAAGTGAAAAAAAGGAAAGAAAAAAGGAAATAAGAAAATGAAAGAAAAGGAAAACAAGAAAAAGAAAAAAAAGAAAGAAAGCAGAAAAAAAAAAAAGTAAAAAGAAAAGAAGTGAAAAAAGAAGCAGGAAAAAAGAAAAAGAAATTGGGAAAGAAGAGAATTAAAGTGGAGACAGAAGAAAAAAACAAAAAAAAAGAAAGATAAAGCCGAAAAAAAGAAAATTAAAGGTAAGAAAAAAAAAGAAACAAGAAAGAAGAAATGGACGAAAGCGGAAAAACAAAATATGAGAGAAATAAAGAAAAAAGCAGAAAAAAAAGAAAATAAGGTGGAAAGAAGGAAAGAAAATAAAACAAGAAAAAAATAGGGGAAAGGTAAGAAAAAAATAAAAGAAAATGAAGAAAAAAATAAAGAAAAGGCAAAGATAATAAAAACGAAATTTATAAAAAAAGTGAGGCGAAAAAAAATAGTAGAAATAAAATAATAAAAGAAATATTAGCTTTGTTAAAAGAAAAAAAAAAAAACAAAATTAAAAACACATACCTAATCCTAAAGTTAAACGAAGCAAAAAAACAAGTCGAAAAAAAACAAAAGTGATTATAAATTGTTTATATATATGATCGGCGATCTCAAAGATAATTGGCCGATCATATATAGGGTCACCATGACAATAGGTCACTATTTTATTTAGCATAATGGAAATTGGGTTTGATTGGTTAAAAAAATGATTGACAATTTATAAATAACAAATTTTAATTGGTTAAAGCTAAAGATTAACTTCACGTTATTTCGGCGATACTCTTTATGATTTTTTGTAAAACCGATTGACCGATTGATA